ACATTTAACAAAACTGGACCATACATCTGTAACATTTAACAAAACTGGAACATACATCTGTAACATTTAACAAAACTGGACCATACATCTGTAACATTTAACAAAACTGGACCATACATCTGTAACATTTAACAAAACTGTACCATACATCTGTAACATTTAACAAAACTAGACCATGTTCACCTCAAAGCCAAACATAAGAACATAATATTACTCCATGGACTTCTCATATACAGTCCACTCTCAGGGCAATGCCACAGTCCACTCTCAGGGCAATGCCGAACAATGCCGAACAAATGGTGACTTCTCATATACAGTCCACTCTCAGGGCAATGCAGAACAAATGGTGACTTCTCATATACAGTCCACTCTCAGGGCAATGCCGAACAAATGGTGACTTCTCATATACAGTCCACTCTCAGGGCAATGCCGAACAAACCGTGACTTCTCGTATCCAGTCCCTTCTCAGAGTAATGTCACAGTCCCCTCTCAGAGTAATGTCACAGTCCCCTCTCACAGTCCCCTTTCAGAGTAATGTCACAGTCCCCTCTCACAGTCCCCTCTCAGAGTAATGTCACCGTCCCCTCTCAGAGTCCCCTCTCTAGAGTAATGTCACAGTCCCCTCTCAGAGTAATGTCACAGTCCCCTCTCACAGTCCCCTTTCAGAGTAATGTCACAGTCCCCTCTCACAGTCCCCTCTCAGAGTAATGTCACCGTCCCCTCTCAGAGTCCCCTCTCTAGAGTAATGTCACAGTCCCCTCTCAGAGTAATGTCACAGTCCCCTCTCAGAGTAATGTCACAGTCCCCTCTCAGAGTCCCCTCTCAGAGTAATGTCACAGTCCCCTCTCAGGGTAATGCCACAGTCCTCTATATTGATGTGATTGGCTGATTCTTGTGGGTCCTCTATATTGATGTGATTGGCTGATTCTTGTGGGTCCTCTGAGTAATGCCACAGTCCCCTCTCAGAGTAATGCCACAGTCCCCTCTCACAGTCCCCTCTCACAGTCCCCTCTCAGAGTAATGCCACAGTCCCCTTTCACAGTCCGCTCTCACAGTCCCCTCTCAGAGTAATGCCACAGTCCCTTCTCACAGTCCCCTCTCAGAGTAATGCCACAGTCCCCTCTCACAGTCCCCTCTCACAGTCCCCTCTCAGAGTAATGCCACAGTCCCCTTTCACAGTCCGCTCTCACAGTCCCCTCTCAGAGTAATGCCACAGTCCCTTCTCACAGTCCCCTCTCAGAGTAATGCCACAGTCCCCTCTCACAGTCCCCTCTCAGAGTAATGCCACAGTCACCTCTCAGAGTAATGTCACAGTCCCCTCTCAGAGTAATGCCACAGTCCCCTCTCAGAGTAATGCCACAGTCCCCTCTCAGAGTAATGCCCCACTAACCGTGACATCTCGTATCCCCGAAGAAAGAACTGGTTTCTCCCAGTAATCTCCAGCAAAGGGGGCAGCCGCCGTAACTTCTTTCCTTTTGGTTTTCCAGCGAGAGGTCAGCTTGGGTCCTTCGTCCATCGACCACGTGGTCAAGTCTGGCGTGGGTGTGTGGGTGTCGGCCCACGATAGCCCGGTCATCCGACTCTTCCACAGCGAGACGCTCGAAGCTTTACAGGAGATGAATATTGGGAATATCATCAATCGGATCCGTGCAGGTGTGTGTGTGTGGGTTTGTATGTGTGTTTGTGTGGGTTTGTGTGTGTGTGTGTGTGTGTGGGTGCGTGTGTGCATCTGTGTGTGTGTGTGAATTGTGTGATGTGGGTGTGGATATGTGTGTGTGTTTGGGTGGGTGTGTGATGTGTGCGTGTGTTTGTGTGTGTATGTGTGTGTGTGTGATGTGTGCCTGTGTGTGTGTGTGTGCATGTGTGTTCGTGTGTGTGTGTGATGTGTGCCTGTGTTTGTGGGTGCGTGTGGGTGTGGGTGCGTGTGTGCATCTGTTTGTGTGTGTGTGGGTGTGTGTGTGTGTGTGTATGTGAACGTGATGTGTGTGTGTGTGTGTGTGTGTGTGTGTGTGTGTGTGTATGTGAAAGTGATGTGTGTGTGTGTGTGTGTTTGTGTGTCTGTGATGTTTGCATGTGTGTGTGTGTTCGTGTGTGTGTGCGTGTTTGTGTGGGTGTGTGTGTGTGTGTATGCATGTACGGGGTGTGTGTGTGTGTGTGCATGTGTGTGTGGGTGTGTATCATTTAGGAGTTGGCTTTGAGAGTGTAAGCTTGAAGATTTCATCCCCCAACTGTCTAGACGTCTCCACGTGCTCCACGTGAGTCTGGAAAAGTAGTCAGCCCGTCTGCTGAATCACGTCAGAGTGGTGGGGAGGGAAATATGTCATCTTTTTCCTTTGTTTGTGTGTGCTGTAAATCCCCTATTCTATTTTTGACCCACTTTAGGCTTACATCTAAGAAACTGTTTGGGAACCTTAGTTTGCACTGACCTTTATAAATGGGCCTTTAGATTCTGTGGTCATCTAACTTTTGGACATGTATTCAAAGATCTGAGAAGATTGAACAGAGCCATTTCATTTTATCTTGTGATAACAAAGGCCAGTCGAAAGTGAACAAGCTGATAGAATTGTTGTTATTATTTTAATTATTTTTATTATTATTTAATTATTGTTATTATTATTATTATTTTTGTTGTTATTGTTATGATTATCTGTGTGAGTGAACTTCCAGAGAAACTGTGGACGATGAAGGATGCCTCGGAGGCCGTGGTGACCGCTCTGGGGGTCAGCAAAGGTCTACTGTGGCTGGGGACCAGCATCGGGGTCATCCTGTCTCTGCCGCTGCCACGGCTCAGGTGGGTCGCCGCTCTGTGATTGGCTGATTCTTGTGGGTCCTCTATATTGATGTGATTGGCTGATTCTTGTGGGTCCTCTATATTGATGTGATTGGCTGATTCTTGTGGGTCCTCTATATTGATGTGATTGGCTGATTCTTGTGGGTACTCTATATTGATGTGATTGGCTGAGATTTGTGGGCTCTGTATATTTATAAATATATTTCGATTAAGGAGAATGGATGTAGGTCAGATTAGACGCCTAGACTTCTCGGTCCCGATCTCATGGTAGGTCAGATTAGACTCCTAGACTTCTCGGACAATCTCGATCTCATGGTAGGTCAGATTAGACTCCTAGACTTCTCGGATAATCTCGATCTCATGGTAGTTCAGATTAGACTCCTAGACTTCTCGGACAATCTCGATCTCATGGTAGGTCAGATTAGACTCCTAGACTTCTCGGACAAAGGCGAAAAAATCTTGGAGGGGCTGGGAGATCCCACGTGCAAGTTGTGCATGTAGAAGACCCCTTGGTGGTCTTAAAATCAATTTTGAAAATAGGTTTCTATCACCTTTTGGGCAAAATTTAAAATTAATTCTTTCCAAATTGAAAATGCTTAATGTGTCCTCCACACTCATATGACCTTATGCACTTACAAGTGCCTTAAAACACTTATCAAAACAAAACAAAAAAAAGACTTTTTTTCTTAACTGACGTGGAAGTCTTTTGGAACTAGGAGAAGAAATGAGCAAGAGAAGGAAGAAAAAGAAATGAGCAAGAGAAGGAAGAAGAAGAAATGAGCAAGAGAAGGAAGAAGAAGAAATGAGCAAGAGAAGGAAGAAGAAGAAATGAGCAAGAGAAGGAAGAAGAAGAAGGAGAAAAGGAAGAAGGACAAAATATTCTCCTTTATTCTTAGGAAAAAGATTGTATCTAGATCGAGTATCCTTGTGTTGGAGGTACCAATTTGCCTGTTTAGCCTTGTGATCGAGGCAGAATTTATGGGAACATCTGGGCTTGATGATTTTGCTGTGAATGTCATGAAATGTATGGACTGTTGTCATCATGGCCTTGACCTTGTTTGTTTCCCGTGTCCCTTGGTTTCAGCGACGGAGTCCCGCTGTACCGAGGCAGCCCGTGCGTGTCCCTTCACTCCCACGCCGGCCCCGTCAAGTTCTTCACCATGTTCCCCTGTGCTCAGGCGACCTTGGAGCTGAGGCGCGCCAGCTCGCTGAGGCACACGCTGAGTATGCGGCCAAGTCGCCGAAACCTGGCGCGAGAACAGATGGAGCTGGAGGAGAGTGAGGCTTGGAGGAACGCGGCAAACGTCGCTTCTTTGTCACCGGTGGAAGAGTCGACTAGAGGCAGTGGGGGAACCTTCTGGTCGGAGGAGGAAGGTTTGCTACAGGAGGGGAAGGAGGGAGAGGAGGGAGAGGAGGGGAAGGAGGGAGAGGAGCGGAAGGAGGGAGAGGAGGGGAAGGAGATTTCTAGCGTCCCTTCCACGTCTGATGTTCAAGCTTTAATGAAGTGGGAAAGAGACACTGGCTTCCAGTCAGGTTTGATCAGAAACGGGAGTATTGAACTAGCCGAGCGAGACGCCGGCAGTAAGGGGGGGTCATCCCATGTGCCGGCCACTTCTAAAGGGAGCGACGGGCAGAAGAAGCTGAGTCACTCGAAGGAAGGGCTTCGAAGTTCTCAGGACGATAGTTCTGTGGTTTTTCGCCGACGCAGGAGCCGAGTTCCGAATGCCGAGAGACAAAGTCGGACATTGTCCTTCCGGTCAGAGCTGGCCAATCGCATCATAGTCCAGTCAGAGACCATGTCGCTGTCCAATGGGGATCTCTCCGAGCTCCAGGAAGTAGAAATGTTGTATGAAAACCTCTTGGAAGAGGAAATTGACCACGAGGCAACGATGAGCTCCAATGGTTTTGACGAGACCAAAGAATCAGCTATGACTTGTGTGGTGGAGGAACACAAGGAAGGAAAAAATCTGGAGAGAGACGAGCCTGTCCAAAGTGATCTCCCTTGTAGCCACGTCACGGACACTTCCTGCACCGACCCGACCGCTGGGCCCGCCAAGACGCCGCCGCTCAGTCATGCTCACAGGGAACTCGCGGCCAGCCAATCAGCATCTGGCTTGTCTCTAGCGGCGACCATTTCGCCAGGTGTAACTTCGTCTCCGTCTCTCGCTTCGGTTGTGTCTTCGTCATCGTCGGGTAGCCACCAAGATGATCCGCTGTGTGAGCGTAAGGTCGGAGGTTCCAGCCTCGGGTCGGCACAGACTGTTACACTGGGGAACACGCTGCGACGACCGACCACGGCTCATGGGAACACGATGCGACGATCGACTACGGCTCACGGGAACACGATGCGACGATCGACCACACCTCACGGAAGTACCGTGCGACGTCCGTCCAGCAACGCCGTCATTGTACTGACCGGTGGCGATGGCTACCGCGACCTTGACATGTCCAGAAACCAGCACAAGTCAGAAGACGCCTGTGTCATGTTTTGGCTCTACAAGTTTTGAAGCTGGGTATTTTTGTATGGTGCACACACCTAAGGAAATCTGTACATCAGTCATCTTATACATCAGTCATCTTATACATCAGTACATCAGTCATCTTATACATCAGTCATCTTATACATCAGTACATCAGTCATCTTATACATCAGTCATCTTATACATCAGTACATC